AATGTAGAAATATGGTTAACATGACTGCATGTTTATAACCTATATCAGATTTCTTGCTGTCTTGGGGAGAGGGAAGGGAGAAAAATTTGGAACTCAAAATCTTATAAAAAAAATGAATGCTGAAAACTATCTTTACATGTAATTTGAAAAAAATAAAATACTCTTTACAAAAAAAGAGATAGAGCATTACTAGATGTAAATGGCCAAGTTTGATAGCATTAAATTTAAAAGGTTTTGAATAAACAAAATTAATGCAATCCAGATTAGAAAGAAAGCAGAAAAGCTGGGAAATTTTTTTTTTTAACAGCAGATGACTCTTAGGCCTCATTACTCGATAAAGAATTGAGTTAAATTTATAAAAATAAAAGTCAGTTTATTTTTATTTATAAAAAAGTCAGTTTTCAGATGAAGAAATGAAAGCTATCTATATTCATATAAAAACAATGTTCTAAATCACTATAGATTAGAGAAATGCAAATTAAAACAACTCTGAGCTACTACCTTACACCTATCAAATTGGTTAATACCACGGAAAAGGAAAACGATAAATGCCGGAGGTGATATGGGAAAATTGGGACACTAATACACTGTTGGTGGAGTTGTGAACTTATCAAACCATTCTTGAAAGCAATTTGAAACTATGCCCAAAAGGCTATAAAACTTTGCACACCCCTTGATCCAGCAATAACACTACTAGGTTTCTATCCCAAAGAGATTTTTTAAAAGGGGGGAATGGACTTATTTGTACAAACTATTTATAGCAGTTCTTTTCATGGCAAAGAACTGGAAATTAAGGAGATTCTCATCAATTGTGGAATGGCTAAACAAGTTGTGATATATGGTTGAGATAGAATATTGTGCTATAAGAAATGACAAGCAGGATGATTTCAGAAAAACCTGAAAAGACTTATGTGAACTAATACAAAGTAAAGTTAGCAGGACCAGGAGACCATTGTACATGGTAACAACAATATTGTATGATCAACTGTGAATGACTTAGCTATTCTCAGAAATACAATGATCCAAGACAATTCCACAGGACTATCTACCTCCAGAGAAAGAAGAGTGTGAAAGCAGATCAAAGCAATACTATGTTTCATTTTACTTTTTCACGGTTTGTTGTTGTTTTGTCTGTGTCTTCTGTCACCATTTGACTAATATGGAAATGTTTTACATGAATGTACATGTATAACCTATATCAAATTGCTTACCATCTTTGGAGGGGAGTGTTTGGGAGGGAAAAAATTTGAAACTCAAAATTTCAAAAAAATGAATGTTGAAAATTATCTTTACATGTAATTGGAAAGCAATTTTTTATTTAAAGAAAAGAGTAAGAGATGCCAAATGCAAGTTTAATTCATTTTGTGAATGTTTTCCCAGATGACCCCTCTCCCAGACTAACTTTTAGAAACTCTCATTTTAACTTGTCTCCTAGTCTCCCCACAGAGAAGTTATGGAAGTTGTTATGCCTTGGGGCACAAATAACTTCTGTCTCTAAGTAGGGAGATAACTCAATTCTCCCATTAAGGTATTTTTATTATTTAAATAGATAGGTAGAGAGGCAGGGTAGAGTAATATACAAGGAACTGATCTACAAACCAGAAACAGGTGGGTTCAAGTCCTTTCTCTGGCTCATACTGGCTGGTAGGACCACAGGCAAGTCAATTAACTTCTAGGCAACTAAGACTATAATTTGCAGAAGTGTGTTCAGATACAGTAAGTAAGGAGAATGCCTGACTGGGAATATATAATGCTCATGAAATCACAGATATGACTGAAAAAAAAAAAAAACAGCAAAATAACTGAAATCTCTTCCTTAGCATAGGGCTACTACAACAAAGTATTGCTCCAAATGTTGGTTTGGGAACCAATGAAGATGAGATATGGCCAGAGCTCGCCAGACTCTAAAGAACTGATATCCTAAAAAAAAAAAAGAACTGATATCCTGTATGAAGAATGATGAGAAGAAAGAAAAGAAACAAGCAATTAATTTATCAAGCCTACTATGGACCAGGGACTATGCTAGCACTTTAAAATATCTCATTTGATCCTTGCAACAACCATAAGAGGTAGGTGCTATGATTTTCCCAATTTTACAGCTGAGGAAACTGAGGCAAACAGATTAATTCACCTGCCAAGGGTCATATAACTAGTGAGTATCTGAGGTCACATTTGAATCCAAGTCTTTCTGACTCTGGATCTAGCAACACTCCATCCACTTTGACACCTAGTTGCCTTATGTGATATTGAGCATGATGGAATAATATACTATAATGACTTGAGACAAAAAAGTCTACTCACCTAATCTGTGCAGATGAAATTTTGGATCATTTTTCAAAAGAAGGGTTTTCTCTCAAAGAACAAGTTTCATGTCTGTTAATCTCCTGTTTTAGGTGGCAAGCCTTGAAGTCTAACCATATTCAACTCATCTTACATGGTATCACAGTATCATCAGACATAATACTCAAACTAAAACCAGCATTTAATTTATTAAACATTTACTATGTGCCAAGCATTGTTCTAAGCACTTTACAAATATTGCCTCATTGATCATTTATAAATACCTTATTTGATACTCAATAAAGATTGGAATATTTGGTGATGAAGATTGACAAAAGAAACATAATTTTTTTTAAAAACTGTCCTGAAATTTAAATTTTTTTCTTAGAATTGTGAAATACTGTAGAAATCAACTTGGCACATTTCTGTTAAGAAAAAAAAATTTGTTCTTCTCCTGAAGTTTCTTCACCTAGTATTTTGACATTATTGTTGTTTTTATGTACATCTTCTTACTATTTTTTCTATGTTCAGATCATAAAATTTTATAATAGAAAGGAACTTTAGACATCATCAGCCATTTAACCTTCCTATTTTACAGAAGAGGATACTGAAGCCCAGAATACTAAAGGGGCTTGCCAACATCACAGAGCTGATGTCAGAGTTGAGACTAGAATCAACGTCTCCTGCTGACCACTGATCTTTGTGAAACATGTGGCTTTTTTAGGGGAAAAAATATAAGCCTCCAAAATAGATCTCACACTACAGCTATTTATTACAAAGTAAGTCACAGTTACAAAGTTACAAAGTCATCTTCCTGACTCCAGGCCTAAGGCTATTTACTAAGCCACCTAGCTGTCCCTTGCATATAGGAGACATCAGTAAGAGGGAGAGAAGGGAGGAGATAGTACTACATTCAACCTTATCACTTCTTTTATAGATGAGGAAACTGAAGATTGAAGAAAACACTAAGTCAACATGAAGAGGTCTGGATCCTTCTAACCAAATATTCTTTGTCCTTATCAAAACCTATAATTCCCAAGAACCTGCCATAAAGTAAGAGGTATGGCTAACTTACAGCAAACCACCGAAATCCCTTTATTGCAAGTGCTTCATCCAGCGAAGAAGTGGACAAAACAGACCTGAAAAGATTGATTAAACACACATACCCCACACACCAGGATATCAAATAAACATTCAATCCAGATAATGGAACAGTGGGCACATCCCTCCCCCCTCCACAATTCTACCGGGATGCTTATAGCCCATTTACAACTCCATTTTGTCTTTAAAAGCTTTCCTTTGATATTCATTCTAACTTAATTTCACCTACAGAGTGGGAAATGGGGGACAAAGGGAGGATTTCACAGAGCCCAGGATCTCAGCCCCCAACCTCCCCTCCCCAGGCATTCTTTTTCCATTGGGGTTTCCGTTGATATTCACCTTAGTTTAATTTCCCCAATAAAAATAGAGATTACATACATTCTTTTGACTGATGAGGGGGGGGAGTTACCAAGAAATGGAAGCCATTGTTCTGGAAATGGGATGAGGAAAGAAGATATTTTTTTGGGGTGGGGGAGGAGAAATGCGGACTGTTAATCAAATAGAGGTAGAAGAAAAGACGGCAGCAGAATAAGATTGCTAACAAAGGCACACCTAAAAGTGGGCCCCAAATTGAAACGGACGCAAAGGGTTCTTTGTAAGTATGCAATGGTTGGTGGCCAGAGAATATTAAACATACTCCAAAGTTATAAAAATTGAAGATGTTTTGAGTTCATAAAAATAAGGTCTTTGGTTCTGTGCTATTTACAATAATTTTGTTTAACAATTTCATTTTATATGTAAAAGTATTCTTCTATTAGGTATATTCGTTTTGAGGACTCTAGGGATGCCTAACACAGGAACTTTTTGCCAGCTCAGTTTAATGTGATAGTATCAGGTGAGTTTAATCATCCACAAGATAAAATGGCAACTTTACTATTGGATTTTGGTATCAAGCCTGTACCTGTACAGATAGATGCCTGCCTTTCCCAAGTTTCTAGGACACAGAAGGAAATCTTCTTGAAAAATCCAGAGAAAGGAAAAACATACGCCAGTTTTCTTTTAGAGCATGAGTCGCTCTTTACTGGAGCCTGAAATTCAGCTCGGAAAAGGCGGAAGAAGCACTTTCTTCGAGCGGTGCACTAGCCAGGAAGAAAGGAGCTGTTATTTGTCTTCCAATCAATACGGGGAGGGAAAGAGGGGTGAGGGGAAAAGGGCTTTCAGAGGTTGTCACTGCTCTCAGCTTCCCTGGGCGTCTCCAGCGGCACTAAAAACAAGCCTAAATCTACTTAAGACCCAGACTTCAAAAGGAGTCTGTATTTGCCCAAAGAAGAAATGTGGCGATACCGGAGCAGAGGCACCATGTTTCTCCATTTACTCATTTAGCTCAATATCAGACCCACAAGCCAATAGGAAAGCGACGTAAACCCTAGCTCTCCACCCATATTGGACGGGGCATCCACGATTTCTACTCTCGCCTTCTTCCCCTGGGCTGGGCGTAAGCTTCCTTGTGGGGATGCTAAGTGGAACAGACAAGCGGTAGGTACCTCTGGTCCGCACGTAGCACCCCCTATAGTCCTCTCCTCCCTGTCCCCCTTGTCCCTACCTCTTCTAGGCTGTCTCCGCCCTGAGGACGGAATGAAGAACCTCAAAGATGCTGCAGAAAAGAACCTTTCTTTTACCTGTGATAGTGCCTTTTGAAAAACACGGGGCAGCCACGAAAAGGAGGATACTGAGCGGCAGAGGGAACCCACGAGCCCCCAGAGAGAAGCGCATAGTGCTGGTTAACGCACTGCAGAGTACCCTTAATTAGACCCGGGAGGCAGGCGAGGTTGCGCTCCACACTGCCGGTCCGGCTGGACTGGAGGGTGTCACTCGCTAAGGCCCCTGCACTCACGGAACGCACTGGTCAGCAGTTTGTCCAAGGAGGAAGTGTAGATGTGGGTGGGGAGAGGAGTAGCTTAGAGAAAAGCTAGGTGGGAGGGGCGCGGCTAACCTTTCCTCCTCCCCCAGAAACCCTGCCTTCCCACCCCCACTCCAACCCCCGGGACAGTCTTGAATAGTACATGGTGCCTCCATCTGTTATTCAGCCGGGCACCTCCAGCTGGTTTATCTCCACTGTGAAGTGGTTACCTACCCCACCTGAACATCCTTTCCCAACCTAAGGGCTTAAGAAAAACTAAACAAAATTGGCCTTACAGACCCCAATAAACTGTGACCTGGGAAGGTGCTGAAGCTGTTAAGCAGCTTGCACCCAATTATTTTAATTACGCACATAGGAAGAAGAAAAGGTAACTTTCTTTCTCCGCAAGTGTCTTCATTTTAGAGGCTTCTTTTTTCATTTACTGGCCTATATTTGCCTCAATATCTTCATTTCTCACATGAGGGGGCTTGGACTAAATGATCCCTAAGATCCCTTTCAGTTGTGACATTCTATGAGATCCTTTAATGAAGCAAGCCAGTTTCCTAATGGATTAAACTTTCTCCCCCTCTCTCCTCCTTACCATAAAATCTCAAGAGGCCTGTTCTCTGAAGGTTAAGGTTTGGCAATCTCCCAGCTCCCACGGAGAGACTATGTGTTTTCCTTTGTTTAGCAAAGATACATTTTGAAATAGTCACCATAGAGCCTGAATGGAAAAAAACAACCTAAAATAGAGTAAATACACTGTAAATTGTTCTTACTCAAGCACATTCGGTGGTGTGGGGGAGGGGAAGACAGGTAACTAACCTGTGGTGCAATGGCTTGGAATGTCCAATGCTCAATAAAAAAATAAAACAAATAACATGTATTCAGTGCAGCTACAGCATTACAATATTACAGGGTAATAATAATAGATAATATTATTGGACTATATTTTTTCCATTAAAAAAAATTTGCAGGGTGTTTTTCCCCCCAAAGCTGGAATCCTTCCTTTATTAATGTGGAACTCAAAATTTCAGAGACATGAAATGGCACAGAGACAAAGTCTCTGCCAGCAGGTCATACAGTTTCGAACAGAAAATCAACAGTTGAGTTCTAACAATTTATAAAATACTGTAATAATCAACATTTAAAATGCTCCATCACAGGACTCATTTTTGTGTCATCTCCATCTTAACTCCTTGATGCAGTGGAAGGAAGAGTGAAGCTGGAATCACAGAATTTTTGAGTTCAAATCCCCATTCTGATACTGACTGTATGACTTTAGGCAAGTTATTAACTTTTCTGGACCTCAGTTTCCTCATCCGTAAAAAACGAGAGGCTGTATTAGATACCCTCTAAGGTCCCTCTCATCTCTAATTCTATGATTCATTTCAGATAGAATGAAAAGAGGGAGTGATTAGCAGTATATGGAAGTTTTAAACAGAAGAAAAACCATATTCTTTTCTACTACTGTTAAGGGGGGGGAAGTTGTCAGTTATATAAGTATCAGTATATTTCATGTCATATAACCACAAACTTGGAAAATAGTTTAGTGGAGCTCTTGAAATTGGATATTTACAAAATATGGATCAAGTACCTTGCTACAATTAGTTTTATAAAGTATAGAACATGGTGATTGTGTTCAAAACAGGCTTTAGAGCAAAGGCCTTCATAAAACTATTAATCAAAGAAAAGCTTTTTAATATCAAGAAAAATGATCACTTAACTGGGAACTTTATGCTTAGATTAAGGGTTAATGCATTCTAAAAGCTTTGTCAAGACTATATTGTTTGCTTTGGTGAACAGTATAAGGTATGGATAATAATGCCAGGTATTTGGGGTTCAAGTCACATTGAAGAGTTATCACTCTTCCTATGTGCCCTTATGTAATATGAGGTCAATTGTGATTTCAACCCTCTGATTATATTTTCTTGAGCTTTTTTTTTTCCTATGGAAAATGAGTCATTCAAGTGTTGAACCAAATGGACTGTGTTACTGAAGTCATTTGTCTATATTACTAATATAGTTCAAATGAGTTTTTAAATTGCAAGTGTGAAAACAAATGAGCAATGAGTTAATGAATGACTAATGAATAAGTAAATTTTAATTAACAGGTCACAGAGCCAAACCTGTGACTTCATGACCTGAAAAGCAAATTAGTAGACATGAATATGCCTGAACTAGGAATAGGGGAGAAAAATGTCTCTCAACATATTCTAATATAAAGTTCATGTCTTGGAGAGCTGAAAACAGGATAAAAGAATGAAAACATTTATTAAGCTCTATATGACAGGCACTATGCTCATATCTGTCTTTGTAGATATGCAGTAACATATAGAATGTGATAAAAATTGATTATAAAGTTAAATATAGCATGGTGGAGAGGAAAGAATGCTTAATTTGTTATCAGAGGACCTAGCTTTGAATCTCACTTCAGTTGCTCACAAGTGATCTCAGATAAATCACCTAATCTCTATGGAATTCATTTTCTCTGAGGAAGCCAGGGGAATCACAAGGCCTCACTCAGCAAAGAAAGATGTAAATCGATCTGTAGATCCTTCAGATTTGGAGCAGGAGGTAGCCTGAACAACATGAACAAAGACAATTTTTAAAATTAATAGTTTAGCTTTACCAAGACATTAATCAATTTAAAAAAAAAAAAGACTTTTACCTAGCAACTACTACAACAAATGTTCAAGGTACTGTGCTAAGCACTGGGAATACAAAAAATGGCAAAAGACAGTCCCTGCCCTCAGGGAACTTGCAATGTTTTGAGGGAGATAAAGTGCAAACAAGTATATACTAAGCAAGTTGTATGCAGGATAAGCCTCTTAGAGATCCCATTTGGATTCTTTCAGTTTTCCTGCTCAGTGCTCTATCCACTGCACCATAATTAACAGAGGGAAGGCACTAGAAGTAAAAAATTAGGAAAGTCTTCCTATAGATATAGAAGATGAACTTAGTTTGGATTTAAAGGAATCCAGGGAAGTCAATAAACTAAGATGAAGAAGATAAGCATTCCAGGTATGAGGAACAGCCAAAGAAAATGCCCAGATCTGGGAGGTGGATTGTCTTTTTGAGGAACAACCAGGAAGTCAGTGACACTGGATCAAAGAGTATGTGATAGAAGACTGAAAGGGGGAGGCAGGTGGGGAACGTGCTAGCTTATGAAAGGTTTTGAAGGCCAACCAGTACATTTTGTATTTGATCATGGAGGCAATAGGGAGTCATTGTAGATTATTGAGTAATAGGGTATCATGGTCAGGCCTGAACTTTAGGAAAATCACTTTAATGGCTGAATGGAAAATAGATTGGAGTGAGGAGAGACTTGAAGCAGGCAAATCCACCTCATGAGGTAATGAGGGCCTGCACTAGACTGGTGGCCCAGTGGTCAGGAGAGAAGGACATTATGGAAATGATGTAAAGGTGAGATCTTTCTTTGGTAAGAGTGAACCTAACTGGAAATTAGTTCCTGCTAGTTCCCTTCCAGAATTTGTAGCACACTAGAGCCAGACTAATGTGGATAGAAGGTTGAACTTTGAGTCAGGAAGAATTGGGGATTAAAATCCCCCATTCTCCTCCTTGGTTCATCTACTATGTGATGTTGGGCAAACCATCCAACCTTGGGGTGGGGAACCTACTGCCTCTAAACCACACGTGGCCTCCTAGGTCCTTGCCTATGGCTTTTTGACCGAGTCCAAGTTTAACAGAACAAATCCTTTTATTAAGGGGATTTGTTCTGTGAAGTTTGGAGTCAGTCAAAGGGCCACACTTAAGGACCTAGAGGGCCACATGTGGCCTTGAGACCACAGGTTCCCCACCCCTGAATTCTAACCTTTATGAACTCCCCCCACAAATTCCTCTAGACACATATGGCTATGTAGTTCTATCCTTGTCTTGTGTCTGGCCAATCCCTGAAGGGAGCCCAGCTGGTCAAGAAGCCTAGCCTCTGAAATTGCCCCCGATGCACACATGTACATACCCACTCACCCACACATTCTCATGCTTGAGAGTAAAGGGGGAGCTGCTAACACATACACTTATGCCCTTGCCTTCCTGCAGAGACACTAACCGAGTCAAGCACACTAACCTCTCCCAAGCAGGAGATCCATTAATACTACTCTTTAAATCATCATTGTAAATATTTTAGGGTCAAATATTACAAAAACAGTATTTTGGGGGAAAAATATCTGAGAGTTCTAAAAGAAAAAAAGGCAGGTGGTATTTTGGCTAACCTAGGTGGCATAGTGGATAGACGGTCAGGAAGACTAATCTTCCCAAGTTCAAATCTGGTCTCAGATACTTACTATCTGTGTGACCCTGAGCAAGTCATTTAGTGTTTGCCTCAGTTTCCTCATCTGTAAAATGAGCTAGAGAAGGAAGTGACAAACCACCCCAGTATCTTTGCCAAGAAAACCCTAAATGGGGTCACAAATAATTGGACACAACTGAGCAACCCCTTCCGAAACTTCCTTAACTACAAATAAGATGTGATTTGGGTCACAAGACAAAGGTAAGACAGTCCCAATGAGGAAGTGGGATGTGTCATCTCAGCTTCTCCCTATTACATCGCTGAGAGATGAGATCAGTTCTCAGATAAAGGGAGTAGTTCTCAGACATGGGAATAGTCTGCAGGGTTTGGGAGTTACTACAACGGTTTAGATTGAAGACACTGACCTTTAACAAATTTCTCTGAAATATGAATGGTGGATTAAGTTCCAAAGATGGAGATATTAAGTTTCAACACAAAAGTGGAGGCACTGTTACAAGATAAGAATTGTGAAACAAGTGACCTGAGGTTACCTGAGTAAAACTTTTACCCAAGGGGAATATTAAACCTAGCCTGATTAAATCTTAACAAAATAGAATTAAAAGTCAATTTTCAACTTCTCAGTTCACCCTTTGGTTTTTGGGAGGCCATGCCTCCCATGAATCACTTAGCCTGATTAAAGTTATAAATCAAAGTATAATAAAAATCATATGTCTATCAGTCTATAATTTTAGTAAAATTGAAGTAATGATTATA